GAGGACGAGGAGGAGGACGAGGAGGAGGACGAGGAGGAGGAGGGGGACGAGGACGAGGACGAGGAAGAGGACGAGGAGGAGGAGGAGGACGAGGAGGAGGAAGAGGACGAGGAGGAGGAGGAGGACGAGGAGGAGGAAGAGGTCGAGGAGGACGAGGTCGAGGAGGAGGAGAGGAGAACGAGGAGAGGAGGAGGAGGACGACGACGACGAGGAGGACAAGGACGACGAGGACAATGACGAGGACGAGGAGGACGAAGACGAGGGCGAAGAGGGAGAGAGAGGAGGACGAGGAGGACGAAGACGAGGACGAGGGAGGAAGATGCCGATGCAAAGGAGGACGAGGACACAGCACGCACGGCCCCAGGAGGCCCTGCCCCGACAAAGATTTCTAGCACATTAATTACTGACTATAACGGACGGACCCGGCCAAAGATTAAAAATTTTGTTCCGAAGTGGAACAAACGGATGATAGATTTGTCGAGATGAGGTACAGTATAGGTGTTCATTTATACTGTAGTTCCTCAGACTCCATATATTGAAAGATTTACTTTGGGCCTCAAAATATTGTACATTACACTCAGATCAATGCGAGCGTCGGCGTGGCGTTCCTTTTATATTTCCTTACAGTGCAGATCCGGCGCATTTGCTGCATTTGTTTGATACGCAGTTGTACCGCAGGCAACGCCCGTGCGAAGCCCCCGCTTTATGATCGACTGTATATGAGGAGGGACATGGAAGTATCCTGGTATGGGGAAGAAGAAAGAAGATCGCCGCTCGGTGGCAGAGCGTTGCGTCGACTCATAACAAACAAGGCGCCGTAACCTCAACGCAGACCTATCGAAAACCGCGGTTTTCAGGAGGTTATATTTCGGATCTGGCCTGTACCACTTCGATTGGGCGTTACGTACTTTATTCTGAGTTATGTATAGTGAATAAGATTTGATATGGATTTGAAACGCGACTAACAGTGCAGCTGCAGCCTCAACTGCTTTGTTGTGGGTCGACGCAACGCGACGCCACGGTTCGGTCTTCATCCTCATTGCGTTCTACACGTAATAGTCGTTTCGCCTACCTTTGTACAGAAGCGGCGACAGACCGCGGACCAGCTGGCTCGTAAGAATGACTGTCGTGTGCGCGTCAGAACCAGGGGGTTAGGAGGGTCTCACAGCTCGGCTCACACTCCTCTTTGCAGCGACGAGGAACGGCTCGTTCACGCTGAGCACAGCAGCAGAGACAGCACACGGCCACACGCCACACGACGGCAGACGGCACCTCCCGCTCGCTCGACTGAGGAGGCGGACTGAGGACTGAGCCTACTGAGCGGGCGCGCTGACTGCGACTGTGGATGGGGTGGGGGACGGGGGGGAGGGGGGGCGTCCCCGGTACCAGAACCAGAGGTCCTGTCCGCAAAGCCTAAGGTCCCGCCCCCGGCCTGAGGACTTCACAAAGGTCCTTTGAGGAGGACTTTACCCGGAGCAGGGAGGCAAACTGGTGGGCAAGGGGGGCATGGAGGGGGGACGGTCGATTGCGGACATCTCTGGGTCCGGAGGGTCGGAACGGTCGATTGCGGACAAAGCCTTTTTGACAGGGGATTACCGGGTCCCGAGGGTTCACGGGTCTGCCCGCAACCGACCAGGGCTCGCCGCGGGCGGGCGTGGCGTTCCGTGCCGCGTCCGGGTGGACGCACAGCGTCCTTGCCCCCTTCCCGGGGGCCACTGACCCCTGGCCGGGCTGCCGGGGTCAGTAATGTCACCCACGCGAGTAGGAAAAATGCGAAACGCTTTGCCAATGCGTAGGGCCAAGAATTCGGATGCAGACTATGAAGCGAACCCCCCGCGAACCGTCAGTGTAACTGGTGTAACGGTTGGTCCGCCCCGGTCCAGGAGGGTGTCCACCACGCCCTCGTCCCCCATGCGGCGGTCGCCAGGATTCCAGTTGCCAGCTGAGTCTCGACGGCCACGTGCCGTACCCCGGCCCCCGAGGCCCGCGTCGACGTCCCCGCGAG